TATATATATATATATATATATATTTATTATAGTCACGCATGGCTTATCCTCCTCAGTCCTCATGCCTGTCACGCACCTATCAAAAAATATATATATAAAAAAACTAAACTATCCTAAGTCCTACCATGTGCAACCTCTCTAGGCCTCCCTCCCTCTCGTCTCTCTCTCTCTCTCTCCCTCTAAAAAAATATTTTTGATCGCGGTGATCGACGGTGAAGATAGAACACCGCATTCATCTTTACATGCGGTGTCCGTATGAAATAATTTCTCCTCCTCCCCCAATAACCGTGAGCTCCTTCTCTCAAACAAAATCTAAACGCGTCCATTTCCTCTCCAACCAAGCCTCCCACATCTTTGAAAAAAAAAAAAGAACCAACAAATAAGCAATGAAAGTTTATTTTAAATATAATTTAAAATAGAAAGCGCAAATATGAAATAGATTCCAATATTTTATATTTCTAAAAACGCAAATTAAAACTACAATTTCACAAAAAATGCAATTTCGATTTTTGTATTCAATGAATTTATTTTTTTTCAATTGAATTATTATATATCGTTTCCTAAAATTTATATAATGCTTAATTTATTAAAATAATAATATTTTTTGTAGTTAAAAATTAATTTAATAATCAGGGGACATTTTATGTTATATGGTTTGGGATTACTAAAATTTAAATAAAAAATGAGTACATATTGTTAAATACTGATAATGTTAGCATTAAAATTTTAAAGAAGAAAAATTAGTGAAAATTATTATTAAAAATTATCTATATTAAATTATGTTAGCACTTAAAGTTAGTAGTTGTGCATTAAAATATTAAATAATCACTTCAATTTATGCATTTAAAATATATATGAATCATTGAATTCATAACTCTTGTGAATTTGTATATTACCAAAAAAATAAAAATGTTACCTTGTTTTGTGTGAATTTACCTTTGAAATGGTTAATATTGATTAAAGTTGATGCAATTAGAGTTGTTTTATTTTATTTAGTATTATTATTTTTTTTCTATTTGGACTTATATGTAATAACTAAGTTTTAGCCTTTATATCATAAATTGTATCCCGAATCTCATAGTCCATAACTAATGGCGATGTGATGGTAGTGCAACATCGCATCACAGTTTTGTCTGTTTGGGTAAACCGCGTTTTGACACTTTTTTTAAAAAATTGCCGCTGAAACCTACGTTTTCGCGCTACTCCTAGTTAGGTGCGGTGACAGCTTTCACCTGTGGTCGACTTTTAAAAAAAAAATTTTTTTTTTCTAATTGTCACCTCCGTTTTTGAACATCAGATTTTTATTCAGCAACTTGACAACTATTTTTTAATAAACTGCAGCTTCCCCAAACAAACCATATAAACTTATTGTAAAACACTTATTGTAGAACTACCAATATCAATTTGTCGGTGTAACATCAATCGAACATCAACCAATGACATAAACGATACATTATGAAGAGAACGATGGGTCTAAATATTAATTTTGAATTTATAAAAATTAACAAATTGTTTTTGCAAATTAACTAATGCATAAAACTCAAGGACTAAATAAAGAAGCTTAAATTTTTATTTTGTGATGTGAACCATATTAAAAAACAAAAATTAAAATACATCATGAAAGTTCCAAGTTGCTTCACATATCTCAGTTAATTTGGATTACTTTTCAACGAGTTCATCTTTCATGTCTTGACTTGCATATCTCACATAATACGAACTTATATTATACATTTCGACGTTAGTGTCAGTCTACGACTTCAGATTAAAATTATAACTCGATCAATCCACCTACATAAAGTTGATTGGCTCTAGACCATTGTTTAGTAGAAGTCAGTCAGCTTTAGCTTCCTTGATCAGTTAAATTAGGTGTAGACTATCAAATTAGCTTGAGGTTGGCCACCCAACTCTCTTTTTTCCAAGCTGATCAAATTGGAACTCCATCATAATAGGGCGTTCTACAATTACTTTTGGCCATGGCATGCTTATAATCTTTATTGGTATGCTAGTGATATTCTCTATCATATAATAATAACTTCTCTCCATGTCTCTAAGTTTATTGAAAGAGTATATATTTGTTCAGGGGATTTACATACATATCACCTAATTATAATTAATTTTTATATCAACGCACGAATATTTAATATTATATACATACCACCAATTCATTCTCGTTAATCATATCTACTATTTCATCCATTTAGGTTCGCATACTTGCGGTGTAGGAGTTGAAGCTCACGAGTGGGGAAGGGAGGAAGTAGTAGAAAAACGAGGCTTACTTTCCTCAATGGTTTTTGGTAGGAGTGGGGTGGGAGGAAGAGAAAGATGGGAGTTTTATTTGTCTTTGTACGTCGCGATCTTGTCCTAGCCATTTCTTTGAAGCTTGCTATGACTTTTGGAAGGATTTGGGTATGATTTTAGTCAGGCGTCAGGCGAAAGGAGGAGAAAAATGCGAGTTTCAATGGGATGAGTTTCGGAGGTATTTGTATTCTTCCCTGACTTCCCTCTAAAGCTTGCAAAGGCGGGTTAGAGGACTTCGTACACTTTAACAGACGAAGATTAAGTGAGGAGAATTGGTCGGTGTGTTGCAGATCCCCTATTTTTTTAAATTGAAGTTGTTAAGATTGTTTAGTTTAGTTGTAAATGGAGCGTAAATAATAAATTTTTTATTCAAATATGAATTTACTAATTAGAAAGAAAGAAGATTTTGAATCTAACTCGAAGATAAATAAATCTCGCACAATCACATGTGCCATACATTTTAAATATTTACAATCCTCTGGTCCTCATGAATGAGAATATTATGTTCATCGTCCGGATGTGTGGGTGACGAATAAGGAAAAAATTTGCGTACGATAGACGTACGCAACGCTGCGTGCGATATTGGGGTATACCGAGGGTACAAGATACCGAGGGTACAGGTATAAGCCCTTGTAACCTCCCCGTAACTTACGTGTAACCTCTTAATATATGATAACAGAAGCGCGAAACTTATTTTAGGATACAGATAGGTTACAACAAGTTACAGAGAGGTTACAAGGGATTATACCGTGGATGTAACCCCATTGTACCCTCGGTATAATACTAATAAGGCACGCAAGGCTGCGTCGCACGCAAATTTTTTCGGACAAATAATGCAATGTATCACACCACACAACCCTAACCCATACCCGAAAACGGGATTCATTAGATACCGAAAACGGCGGAGACGTCCCTATCGGCAACCTCAGTCTCGTACCTCATGATCTGGCTGTCGCAACTTCTAGTTCTACGTTATGCTCTCCCCTCTCCCTCTCTCCCTCCCTGCTGGCCGATCGAAGTGAATAGCTCTGCTGTTTAGCTCCTCGCCGACGAGCAGAGAGGCGGCCAGTTGAAAACTCTTCCATCTGCTTGGAGCCCTAGCAACCGCGGGGCCGTCCATAGCTTCTACTGATCCGGACGGCGTTGTTTGGCTGCTCGCCAATCGAAAGAGTGGGATGAAAGGGCTCTTCAAGTCCAAGCCTCGTACTCCGGCTGAGGTTGTGCGGCAGACTCGCGACCTGCTCATCTTCATCGATCTCAACTGGGGTACTCGCGAGGTCAAGTGCGAGGAGAAAGTTCGGTTTCCCTCCCTGCAATTCCGCATCCGTCCTTTACTCTTACTCTGTTTAAATTTTTTAACTCCCCGGCATCTGTGCGACTGTATTTTATTAATTGTTTGTTTGTTGTTTGTGTTGTCAACAGTTGGTTTTTTAATGCTTTATTACCCTAGGTTGCAATATTATAATTATTTTCCTAGAAGATATTTTTTTAGGATCAGATTAAGAACTCATATTCTTGAAATTGTGCACGGAAAATGTCTTATTGCAAAGAATCTATCTCATTTGTTTGTCATTATTTTAATCCCAGAAGTAAATAAATATGATTAAAATGAGAGAAGAGACCAACAGAGCAATGTTCCTCCGCTTTTAAGGATTTTTTTGACAGATCAAAGTTTTGATCTTGCTTCTTCAAGGCAGATTGTTGATCAAGGAAAACTTTGGCATTTGAATTAGGAGCCTGAATCTTTTCATAAGTTTTTCTGTTTGTTTGTTCAGTAGGTTTTGTTGAACCGAATGTGAGCAAGTATGCAAAGAGCGTCTGCCTAAAGAATGACTAGCTAAATTCTATATTTTACCCATTTCATCTTGGCTTCTTAAAATCGAAGTTAACTTGTTTCACAGATGAAACTATGCTAGGATTGCGTAAAATGTTGCAAATTATTTGGCATGCTATCTCTTTAGGGTAAAGTGTTTGTTGGCATGCCTAAATTTCCTTCTTAACAAACTCTATTACGCCTAATTAAAAAAACTCTTGTTTTAGCCTCTATTGAAAAATTTCCCCTCTTTTTGTTTCATCATTTTCGTCGTTAGTTTTTTTTTTCCAAGCTGAAATATTATAATGAGAAAGTGATATGAGTACAACAGGGACAATTAATATGAACAATCAAAGAAAAATAAAAAAGTACTTAAGTGAGTTATAGATAAAATGAAAGCTTGAGGAACTAATTCTTTCGATACATTGAAATTAAAATGGCTAACTTGGATTTCCTACGACGAAGTTTGGTGAAAACAGAGGAGTCTCAATAAATATTTTTCTGATTCGTTCTTTGCCTAATAAATAGAATATGAAATCACTTATCCACCAAGGAGCCAACATAAAGAGTATTTTTATCTTTGTCATATGACTAGAGCTTCATGGTTTTATCACGATACTAAATTTGAAGGATGGAAGCAATTGGAAAAAAAATAGATTAGGATCAATAGAAATGTGTGGGATGAAAGAGTAGGCACTTTGACATGGTGTGCAGGAGTAGGTTCAAGAACCTCTAAACCTAAAGAAAAAACTGGTTTCAAGTTTTGTTTGTGGACTAGATCTGATTGAGATGCTTCTAGATGGTTGTAGGTTAGTTTTAATTCTTTTGTAGAGCGTCTTATATTTGAAATTTGATTTTTTTTTTTAATTCTGGATGAACTGTGAAACATTCATAGAAACTATGTCAAAAAATAGCAAGGTGATAAGATGAGATGTCTTCAAATTTTACTTTTGTCAATAAGCTTAAGTAAAAGACGAGCTATTAATGGTATAATGTGACAAGAATTAACATTATCAAGCATAATATCTATGTTGGAGTGATTGGTGATTTCTTTGAATAGTCAAAATGGGCTGTCTACTTTAGCGTACGTATTAGGAAATTACTGATATAGTAAATAAGTCGAACAAAAGGCCTATTGTAATTAGCTTTGGAGGATACTGTAGTAATGATATAATGACGCCAATGATTCCAATAGATGGTCAGCAATTACATGGAAGTTCGATTAAAAATTATGGATAATCTTCTATGAGAATTACTAATAATGAAAAAATAAAGAGGCCTACCAAACTTAATCATCTTTTCATTAGTGAACATAAGGGCAGGTTTGCCTTTATTTGAAAGGAAGTTTATGAGAATGTAGATTTGTATTTTGATTAAAAAATATGAGGAAATTAGAATTTGATGAAGATGATCTAACTTTATCATTTAGCCTACTAATAACTGTAGGAGGTTCCATTGGGGTTGTTGGAGGCGACCTAATAAGTGGTTCATCCCAAGATTTAGAACTGAACAGTGAGGAAAGGAGGGGTTCATTGGCAAATTGCTGCCAAAGGAGGTGAGTATAGGTTACAAATTGGAACGGTAGGCAAATTACTGATTAGACATGAGGAAGGAATGAGCATGGTGAGAAAAAGTTCTCCAAAGGTAGGAAAGAAGATGGAGAAGAAGTCCTTCAAACTAAGAACAAGATGATCAACTGAAAGCACACACAAAAATATAACAAGTAAGATAGTGGGCGGGCGGTTGAGCCTTAATATAGACGACATGCATGTAAGCAAGCGGGAGGCACCGAATGCTGAACACATGTTAGTTCTGGTTCAGTCGCATCAAATTTTGATACATGAGCAGAAGCATAGGACATTTGAGATGGGACGAAGTGTTTTTGTTGGAGCAAGCCTATGCGAGCCAAAAAGTGATATCATGAGCGAAAGCATAAGTTTTCAGAGTGGAGAGTACGAGATTTTATTGAATTTAAACTTGTGTCGACCCCAATCTAAGAAGGCGAGGAAATGTTGACTTCAAGGTACCTTATTTTATTTTAAAATTGAGAAGGTGCTTTGACAGTTGTATCTATACCATCCTTTTGACTTGCCTGATAATTATTATTATATCACAATATCATCCTAATCAACATGACCGCCCCTCTCTCTCCCATTTGTTTTATTAAGAAATAATTTTGGAATCAAATTGTATTAAGCAGCGATACATGAAAACTCACCAAGGATATTTAGAAACTATAAGTGATTTTTTTTTTATTCCTTCCACCATCACTCCTTCATTTTCTAAAGCCAAATATAACACCCTATCCTCTTCTCTTAGTTTGGTTCGTGTTCAAAGTATACACATATACACACCACAAAATGAAAATGATAATTGTTGTGTTAAATTGCTTTCTATTAATTTTATTTTTAAATTCATCTATGTATTCAACAAAAATGCAAAAACCCAAGAGCTATACAATAAATTTGTTGCAAGTTAGACATTTTTGCTCCGTCAAAATGACTACTTGTGTGAAATCTTCTATTAAATTTAAAATTATATATTTGAGAAGAACCTTGCTCATTTATTCGAGAAAATAGACAACGCATTGGCACATTGAGAGTTGAATACTTAATTAGTTGTTGTCGAGGGCTAGGAACCAATTGATCCCATCCTAACTCAAGCCCTCTCATTGTTGTGGTTGTGGGAGCTAAAACCACCAGTCATCCTATTATATATTCCCGAGTTGAGATGGAGGAAACATTAAAGTACCACTCAATTGTATTTCACAATCAATTCTTGAATGATTTGATTACTTTGTGGCAGGAGTACTCCTTTATTAGTGAGTATATGACTCGATTCAATTAGCTTACTATTTATTGCAACTTCGATGAGAATCCTTGTACAATTATTCTGAGGGTTCATTCAAGAATTTGTATTGATTTTTGTTAGGAGCTACTTATGAAAGAGGTTTATACCCTTGATTAATGCTTTTGTATTATGATAGATCGAGTAGTGCCGGCTACTCTTATTTAGTTTAATGACTTGCTAGATGATTAAGTGTGTGGCTAGTCTGATGATATCAATGATGTCAAGGAAGCATTAAAGGGAGCCCTTTAGCAACCGTGCAATGTTATGGCCACCCTTAGAAAATCATCGACGGGATACACACTATCATTTTCTAAAATTAAGTGAGGATAAAATAAGCAGGCTAATCATAGATATCATCAATTATGTGAATGCTATTGCCAATTGCCATCTTTTTTTCGGTTAGGATGAAGCTCGCCCTTGAGCCTCATCCCCATTCATTCAGGGTAGTTTCGATGGGCAAGACAAATATTTGTGTCTTACAACACCGCCTTGTCTCTTTTCGGTTAGCCATTTATTTGGAATATAGCTGGTGTGATGTTTTGCTTGGATGCACTATTTCCTTCTAGTTCGATCTTGGATCTGTGACTCTCTCATTTTGAATGGGACAAGACAAACATTCAAGTTAGAAGGAAAGCGTATTGTTCTTAGTCAAGTTAATATGAAGGTAGGGGTGACGTTCGCCTCTTTTTTCTTAGGATTGACAAATTTATTACTTAAAAAATTCTTATTAATTTTTTTAATTTTTTTCTTAAGTATAGGGTAGAAAGATTTATTGAAGGGGGAAAAATTACTTTTTTACTGATTATATTTTGTTGCTCATTAAGAGAAATTTCAATTTTTAAGGTTGACAATTGCCCACTCTGGAATCTTCCTAGTTCCACCCCTTGCAGAAGGCGTCTTTAATTTATCGAACTTTTTGAATTGTTTGCACCCACTAACTAAGGATTTATTTATAGCATTTGTAATTATATGATTTGAAGTGTAAAGGTACCCCTTTTCTATTATGCTTTGATTTTCTTGATCTCTATGAGATAACCTCTTTTGATGAGTTTCTGATAGAGGAGAATTCATAAGTTCTTAGTCATATATCTAGGACCTTTTATGTTGCTCCTATAACAGTCTATGCATGTGTTTCTATGGTGAGGTTTTGTAGTTTTCTTTTTTTTTTAATGTATTTGAGTCATGTTATACATATTATCATAGGAAGAAACAAATAGAAAGTGGATCTTAGATGTATGTTTCGATGATGTTGAGATGATATTGAGTTTTGAAGTTAAATTTGAAGGTGATTTTTGATGAAATATGTATGTTAACAGATAGCTTCAAAGGTTAGCATGATTGGTAGATTGTTGGGATGCTATGATAGTTGACAAATTGGGTTGGGATTTGACAAAGGTTGGATTGGAGCGTATGGAATAGATAGATGGTAGAGTGATTGCGAAGGATTTTGTGACAAAAGAGATCAGTGGGCACAATTACTAGAGAAAGTTGTTATTGTTTGCGGTTTCAAGTTATGAAGTCACTAGAGTTTGCTGTGGAAAGGCCGACGAAAATAGTGGTTGACTATTGTGGTTGGTTAGTTGAGGGAGTTGATTTCATCAACAATTGGAGTAGAAAAAGTTGCACCAGGGAGCTAATAGAGAGTATGATTTAATGAAGGGTCATCGATGACAAAATAGTTGAGAAGCTAATGTTGCAGGTTGAGATTAGGATAGTCAACATTTGTTACGCTTGAGATTGCTATAGAGATAAAGAAATGAAGAGAGAAGGAGATGATAGAGAATGAGCAGGAGAGACGTGTGAGCCATTGAGGGACTATGATAATGCCATATGCAAGCATACGAGGGATTGAGAGCGGCATGACAGAGCGGTTGGTGAGAAAATAATAGAGCCAAGTGGAGAATGAGAATGGAGAGAATGCTAGTGATGGAATGGTGGGAGCAGCATGTTGAATAGAGAAAGAGTTGTATTTTTTTTATTTTAATTTTTTCTTATTAATCATCACAGGTTATATATCTTCATGTGAAATGCCAGTTACGAAACACACACACGCACACACACACGGCATCTTATATGGCTTTATGCAATGCTACGTCTGTTGTTTGATATCACATTTGATTGAATCGATTTATGGGTCATGTAAAGGTCAACTATAAGATCGACGAGGCATTAACTTCGGAGGATCCTATACTTAGCTTCGACTTTCATTTGCAAGATGACTCTCTTTGGAGGTATACATTTTTTAGTTCTTTGATTTTATTTGCGAGCTTTCTTATTTATTTGAGTGTTGAAGGAATTTTTGGGCATTTTGGGTGTGACATGACTATTAACATTGTCGGGGATTGATTTTGTTGGCTTTTATGAAGTGTGATGTTGCATTTGTTAGGTTACAAAGGGGAAGAAATATTATTTTCGTCTTTATACTCCGTCATCCACTCCACACATGCTTCGACTTGTGTTAGGGTTACTTCTGTACAGGGTGACAATTTGACTAAATTCTTGCAGTTATGGATAACTTCCAAAAAATGACTGTGTATTCAATTCTACAAGATTTCCAGTAGATCTCACATTGGTTCTCTCTTATTTAATGAATTGGTGAGATTGTATGGTCATGACCTAGGAGAATAGTCTCAGATCATGCATTTTATGAGTAACTTCAGATCTATTGTACTTTGCACATGTATTAGCATATTTTATTTCTTAGATTTTTTTTTTCTTTGGACTTTAGCTTTGTCCTGTGTTTGAGGATTGCTATTTTTTTCGGCCTTAAGGTGTTCAGGCCGTTACATATTTTAAATTCCCTATTTTGACCATTTTAGACACCCATTATCTACTTCCACCGACCATTTTGACTTGCCATCTTATCATCTCCATCATCATAACCTACGCCTCTCCTTCTCTTTAATTCCTAGCTTTAGAATTAACTTATATTAATTAGTTTGTTGAAAATTTATGTAAGCTACTCGCAAACCAAAATTGATGCTTCAAAATCTTCCCTTCATCTAAGTAAAAATAATGCAACCTCTCCTCTATATGTTACCTTGTTTGGAATGATAAGGATGATTGTTGAATGAAATTTCTCGAGTGTTCTTAACACTTATTCTTGGTATGTTTTTTAATTCCAAGAGGACTATTTGAGAGTGTAGTGACTGCAACTTGTGAAAATTTTTTTCGGAAGGATGATTCAATCTATGAATGACTGTTTGTAGAGGACAATTTTTTAGTTTTTGTAAGATACTTATCTTGTATCAGGCTCTCGTAGGATCTTTTTTCATTAATATTTTATTCTCATTGCTTTTGTAAGCTTGTTAGTCTCATTTTAGGGCCCATCTTCTCTTAAAAACACCCATAAAAAACCTAATCCACCCATATCTCGTCGTGTTAGCTAGTATAATTTTTTTTAGTGAATAATTTTTTTTTGCATGCGTTTAATTCTTATTATCCTACATCTACAGGAATCTCATAAAACAGTAGCTTGCTTATTGCTGTCTTCTTTGCAAAGCAGTACTTTGTTTGCTAGCCTCATTCTTGATTTATGCTTTTATGTATGTTTTATTTCCATAGCTCATGCAAATTTTATTATGTTTTGGAAATGAATTCCTTATTCCTATGTTTTTTTGTTGTGTATATTGATTTTATTTACTTCTATTATCTTCATGGGTCCTCTTCAACTTGATTCAATACAATTATGTTGAAGGTGTTTGAGCTCTCCAAACTTTTCCGGGAATTAAAGTCTATTCTATATGGGAATAGTGAAGCTGAACCAGTGTCTGAAGCATGCGCACAACTTACCCAAGAGTTCTTCAGAGAAAACACCTTGCGCCTGCTAATAACCTGTCTTCCAAAACTAAACCTGGAGGTACTTGTGTTTGAATAGTGCATGCCTTACTAGATACTGCAAGGGACTTTTCAGGCTGATTATTTAAAAGAAGATTTTACATACCACTCAATTCTGATGTATTTTCTATGTTATTTGAAAATTTTGGGTGGTTTAAATTTAAGGAGTAAACTTTAGGTGTTAGACATGTACATAGATATGAATTGGATGGTATGCTATGTAAATGCCCCTTATTTAAATTGCATTTTTGGGCTATATCGGAGTAGTTATAGTTGTTTTCCAACTTCCAATCATATTTAATTTTTCTTATTTAATTATTATCCTGTGCTCATTTTATTACTCTTATTGTATTTTTCATTTTATGGGTATATTAAGTTCTTTTTTTCTCCTATAGGCTCGAAAAGATGCTACCCAAGTGGTTGCAAATTTGCAGAGGCAACAAGTCCACTCACGATTGATTGCTTCTGATTATTTGGAAGCAAACAAAGATATTTTGGATATTTTGATAACTGGGTGAGCTATTAGCTGTTGAACTGATTAAGATAAAAAATAATTAGCAATATTGTAAGATTAGGTTTATTGATAAGGAATGACAACATTTTTACATACGTATCATAAAATTCTTATTTATTAATTCTTTTTTATTTACATATCTCACACCTAAACTTTCATATTTACATACACTGCACTATGGTGTTTTAAACTTATACATGAAAAGGTGGATTTCACTTTAAAAATTGATAATAATACTATTTTTGTTGTGATATCAAAGATTTAAGTGCTATGCGTGTAAATATGAATTTTGAGGTGTGAAATATGTAAATACACACAGATTGTGTGCTATGTATGTAAATGCCCCTTTTTTAAATACATTGAAAGGGTACAAAAATTAGTTATCTTGAGTGCTTCATGATAATTGCAATTTTTATGCAGAATTTTGAATTCAATTTATTAATTTTCTATATATTTTTATTGGACTAACAATTATTATTTTTTGTTACTCGTAGATATGAGAATATGGATATTGCTTTACACTATGGTGCAATGTTGAGGGAGTGCATTCGACATCAATCCATTGCAAGGTATTTTTATGTTTAAATTGGGGTTTTTTAAGAAACTATGTTTTTGATTGCATTGTCTATGAAATAATAGTCTTCCTTTTTTTTTTGGTTTTGGGGGGGGGGCGGCTCTTGTTTTTATTTTGCATGTTTGCAACTTGATTATTATGTGAATTTTTGTAATCCTTAGAAATATCTTTTTTTTTTGTGGGTTCTTTGATGTGCATTTGTATGAATTTTTGTTCATATCTTATGTGTTCATATCTTATATGTTTTTGATTATTTATGTTGTAGAATATATGATAGAATAATAACAAGCATTAAAGTACTTGTGTAGTGACATAACATAAATTTCAATTACAATTGGGCTATATGAAATGAGCATTAGGGAGGGGGGGGGGGGGGGGGGGTTTTTGTTTTTATTTATTACGTTTGAATATATAGTGGCCCATGTTTTTATTTTGCATATTTGCAACTTGATTATCATGTGATTTTTTTAAATTTTTTGAAATATATATATATTTTTGTTTATGGGTTCTTTGATGTGCATTTGTATGAATTTTTGTTCATATCTTATATGTTTTTGATTATTTATGTTGTAGAATATATGATAGAATAATAACAAGCATTAAAGTACTTGTAGAATGACATAACATAAATTTCAATTACAATTGGGTGATATGAAATGAGCATTATGCTCATGTTATTTTTATTAATGGAGGTTCCTACAAAAAAATTAGAAATGAGGTACGTTTGATGTCCTATTTTCATGTGACAAAGACTTTATGCGGTATTTACTGGTGCTACTTTTATGCGATATACTTTATTAGTGATTTTCTTGTATCAAAAGTCCGTTGATAGGATAATGAAGAAAAAAATTGAAGATAAAGGTTTTAGGATTAAAGGAAAACATAAGTAAGTACATGAAAGATGGATTTGCATGTTATTGGGTAAACATTTAATAATCATCATTCATATTGTAGAGCATCAAGTGATCTTTAGATGTGTTCGATTTAGATAACTTTATTATACAAATGAATGTGGATGTTGGATAGACATAACATGAAGAAGTAATGTTGGTTATTTTCTTTTATTTGGTATTTTTGATTAAATATATTAACTAGATAATGTTATAAAATAACAAGAGCATTAATAAAGAAATGCTTGAGCAAAAATAAAAATATAACATCACAGAAAACGATAAAGCATTCTTTGGATAATCTAACTTGAAGCCTAGTGAAAATAGGTGAGTGGTTATAGATTTTCTTTTAATTCCTACTCCTGATGATATAAATATTATGAAATCTCTTATCTACCATAGAATCAGCTATCTAAATGCTCCACTCAGAATCACTACCCATTGTAATAAATAATCGTCATTTTATTCATAAATATGATGAGGTTGAGACATTTCAAGAATTTGCAAAATATTTTATGTGATAATATTACCAGGCGGTGAAGTGATCATTACTAAGGGGCTAATAGGGATGGGATCATCAGCACCTTTATCTAGAAGAGAAATTGAATATGGTGCCAGCGTTGGAAATAAACATGGATTGATGAAGGGGGTTCTTCCACTGTAGGGGTAGGAGCATCATTATGAGCATTAGGTGGAAGTTCCTGAGCCTGAAAATTAGCATTCCTCAATTGAAGGTGAGCTTTAGAATCTGTAGAGAATTTTTAACTAAAAGTAGGGCAAGATGAGTAATATGATGGACTGTTTTCAAAATGTACGTTCTACCAATATTCAGATGATGGAGACCCGATTTACACCTCTCTATAGAAAAGGGCAGTAACGATCAATTTCACCATGACTCTAGTCATAGATGGCTTAGTAAAATGCGCTGTAGTAGAATTAATTTGTAAATATTTTCCAAAAATAAAAGCCAAATAGAATAAGATAGACTAATTGATATCAAGGTCATATGCTATCCTATCAATGGAACAAGTGTTTAAATGACGCGGAGGAAAGTGAAATTCTTCTTGATTGATCTCATTGCCATTGGTGAAGTAGTTTTGGAAGGAATTAAAGACTTTGATATGCTTTGGAGTCATGAGAACATAGAGGGAATGAGTCGTCTAAATTGCACTCTACTTTACAGCACTTCTGATACAGGTATCTCTGGTATCAGCCCCTTCCTCTTTGCAGTTTTGCCGCCATGACAGCAGCCGTTGCCACTTTTCTCTTCTGAATCCTAGCCAACTTTCATATTTCCTCATCTTTATTCTACAAACATCTACAACCCTTTTATCGGTCCTTATATAGAATCTAAGAATCACAAATCACTGTCAATTTGTATCGTCTAGAAGTTGTAAGACTTTTCACAATTTGCATGGACTATAGAAATATGGCAGTGGGGGAGACTCAACGATGCGGTGGCAATTCATTACTAGCTTTTGGTGACTTCAAATATCATCTATTCAACTTTTATGATGAAAAAGTGCGAGGGAAAGATTTTATCTTTCTAAAACAATAATACCCTATCCGTATGAACATATATCAATGAGAGAGTGAGAGAGAGAGAGATTGGAAATTAGTCCTGCTTACAAGAGAGCCATTTTTGTAGATATCATATGGCCTCATCACAAAAGGGATGGAATTCAATGTAACTTAATTCTTGTTGCCAATAAGGCAGCGATAAAAGAAAACAGTATGAGTTTTTTATTACATTTGCCTTTGTTTTGAAGATGACGCTACAAGCTACTGGCGATCTGTTCCCATTTAGAACGTGCTAATAGTTATGTCTTATAATTTTTTTTTATTTCATAGGATATTAGTTGGATTGTATAATTATTCATCCCTGTTCCTAGATATGAAAATTTAAATAATTATTGGTCCATTATTTTTAATTATTTCGTTATTTTGGAGTATTTTTGTAAAAGGAACAAGAAACAATAACAGACAAATATTCCTGCTACTTTCTCCATGAACATTAAATTTTATTTTCTACATACTTTCTCTAAAAAATCTTATTCCTTCTTCTGTAATATCTAATTTTGTTTCAGTTTTTCCTAATAGAGTTTCTTCCAATTATGAACTTTTATGGATTTTTTCTATAATTTTTTTTTTACTGCAGATATGTTTTGGAGTCAGAATACATGAAAAAGTTTTTTGATTATATTGAGCTCCCAAATTTTGACATAGCATCCGATGCCACTGCAACTTTCAAGGTGAAAAAATTCCTTTTTTCTCGACGGCTGTTGTGTTAAAAGTTAGTTTTCGCCTGCAATGGGTTTTCTTTACGTCTGCCCTGTTTTAACTTATTTTTCTCATGCTAAGATTTTTTTTTAGTTTGCTATTGTTAATCTTCTCGTATTTTATCATCCCAAAGTCTCTGATATGGAGCTTAGTATCAATAGAGTTAAAAAATGAGTTATAATATATAATTTTAGTGGGTGTAAAATTAATGAATATTAGTTGATTTTACTTGAAGATGATGGAATAGGGTGATATGCTTAAATATTTTCAGTTTTATCAAAAGAGAATTAGGATTTTATTGAAGATATAACTATTTATAATTGAGGCCATTTGGTTTATGGTGATACTTCGAGAGTACAATGCATGCAAATATAAGGAAGATTTTAAAGAATATTTTTTAAATTGCAATTAAATTGATTATTATGTATGGATTCAAATGTTGGGTGATAAAGAAGTTATTGAAAGCTAAGTTGAATTGGGAAGAAATGAGAATGTAAAGGTGGATGTGTGACAAGATTATGAACTATTGCTGTAGAAATGATTATATACTACATGGGTGGTTTGTGCAACACTTAATTAAGGTAGTGAAAAATTGAAAAAATGATTTGTTTGAAATATAAGGTTAATATGAAATAACTTTGGAAAAGAGGCAGATAATGGATTAACGAGAAATTATCTAAAGAGATTTGTGAAATTTATAGTCAACACCTTATTGATTCTGATAACTAATCTTTACTTTATTGCTGAGTAATTGACTATTCTAATTTCCCAAAGTTAATCATGAAAACAAAGTACTATTTGCGCACTATACCATTGAGCAAGAGACTAATTAGTAAATGAAATGCTGGAGGTAATTTATTAATGATGTCAACTCATTTGAATATTTTTATCATTTATTTCAGGAACTTTTGACAAGGCATAAATCAACGGTAGCGGAGTTTCTCTCTAAAAACTATGATTGGGTATGTACTACTTTTTTGTTAGAAATATTGTGGCCAACATTTTTGTATTGTGGGAATTGTAGTACACAAAAGTTTTCAATTTATTTTCTCAATGTTCACAACTCAAGGTCAAGGGTAATTTTCATAAAGATTTTTCACTATTTGGTTAAAATCATTGCCTTTTTACACTAGTTAAGTTGGGAAAATTTCTCTTTTTTATACTCGAAAAAGTTTCTTGTGCTTTCATTATTTTTGTAATTCAGCTCCGATTTTAAGACATCTGCTGAATTCAGGCTATTTAGATGTGCTGTAAATTATTATTTTTTAGGGGCATCTAAATACATTCCACACAATTCTTACATATTAATGTATATAGCACTTAAACATTTATATTTACATACATACCACTCAATTTTTTTGACATCACATCAAAAATATCACGATCACCAACCCTTTAAATGTGCAATACACCTTTTTCTTATATGTGTTTTTAATACCCAATTGTTATAAATGTAAATATCAAACTTTAGGTGTTAGATATGTAAATACATAAGAATTGTATGGTATGTAAATTTCCCTATTTTCTATTTGCCTATTAGAGCACATTTTGCCATTGTCAGAACTGATAACGAGATATTTTTAAATTCATTGGTGTTACTGCAAAATTTATCTTTGCCTTACTGCCTCAGAACTTTATTTAAATCTTTGTTTTTGGTTTGTGTTTTATTTTATGAATGTGTTTTATTTTTGTATTTTTTATTTTAATTTTTATTGAAGAGAAATGCCACCCCTCTTCCAAAAAAAAAAAAATCTACATTTAAATTAAAACCACATCAACTTATGATTAGGTGGAATAATAAAAATATTTTTCAACAAAGAGTATGGCACCTATTACGATTGATCCAGTTATGTAATTGGAGCTCCCAATGTTTTCTTTTTTATTTTTATTTTTTAATTTTTGTAGTTGTTTGGGAATGTAACCTTTTTTTTTTTTTTGCTGGAATAAGATTCTTGCAATTAACTCTATTGTTTATCTAAACCCAATTGTCTTTTGTGTCACCTTTTAATTTCTCTATTTTGAATATTTCAAAACCATTTAAACCTATTATTCTTTTCTCTTCTATTTAACCAGTGGGCATTCCCACCCCATATTTACTAAAATCCTTCACTCAATTGCTCCTAATGTTTACTATATATTTATCTTAGCATACTCATTTATGCAGGGTGATGGAAAAAGAGGTTTTTGTGCGTTTATTAAATAGAATGATCTCTTATGTTTTACAGTGGTTAATACAAAGTCCTGAAGGAATACCAAACAGACAAGGATTGATCTCCACAATCTGAAAAATTTACTAATTTTAACTATAACCTCAAGTTGGAGCATTTACGTCAATTAACTCTAGCTTTTTAGGCTGTTATGAAAATAGAAGATTACCGAAAGGTTTGGTGAACATATTTGCCAGTTGGTGTAAACCAGAGGAAGACAATACAGGTCATGTAGGATTGAATATGGAGTGTGATGATCATTACATAGTCGTTTACTTGCCATCGTTTACTTGCTGAAATGGCTATTGACAAGCGGAGTTTAGGTAGCACCTCATGAGGTATATGGCAAGCCGATTGGGACAACATTGATTGTTGGTCTTGAAGTGGGCTGAGGCCATTCACTGTACATTAAAGAGGTTGAGAAATTATAAACACGAGCAAGAGTGAAGAGGAATGGATGAGGAGTATGATTGGGACTGAGAAGAGGAGGCATAATATGGTGTTGACTCGTGCAATGTCACATATGTAGAAATATAAATTTGTTGAGCAATATTCCTGTTATTAATAGGAGTAACCTAGAAAAATGGATTGCAGGGCTTATTGTGAAAGTTTATCACCCATATGAAAAGAATGCATGAAGCATTTACTTCCAATGACATGTCGATGGAGAGAAAAAAGAGATACCTTTGGATTGAGAATGGAAGAGGGGAGACTCTTTATGAGATAACATATAGTTGAAATAGCATCACCCATAAAATGTAACATGAGCATAAGCAACATTGAGCATATGATTTTATGGTCGTGAACTATACAATTTCTACTTGAGTTGGGGTTGGCTAGAAATCGGCTTGTGGCTCGTATTCAATTTCAATCCATCTCTACACAAAATTGAATCGAGCTCGATTTGACTTGAAATCGAAACAAGCTTTCTTAACTTAAGCTATTTGGATTCGTTTTAACTCAAAAATCAAAACAAGATGGCTCATTTCGATCGATACAACTTAAAATTAATGAATACAAATACATTAAAAAAAACTAAAAAATCCTATCATTCATGTATTCAAAACTTTTAATTAGCATTATATTAAATAAATTTAAATATATAAAAAATATAAATAAATAAGAAAAACTTTGAGCCAATCTTGAGATAGTTCTAGTTGATTATGCTTGATTAAGATAGTTCTAGTTGATTCGTGTACGGCTAAAGATCGGATTGAAAAAAATTCGATCAATGGTTTTGGTTCATAGCTCGACTTGTTTGCTGATCCAATATCGATCCGAGTCAAAATTCAAATCAATTTTCAAGCGATTGACGATCTTCAAGCTAAAGTTTTAGCCCTATGATTATGCTTGTATTTAGCATCACCATTCTCTTGGGATATATGAGGATAAAATTCTTTGATAAATGATGTCATTTACAACACGAGTGAATTTGAGTTTGCATATATTCAAGAGAATTATCAATATGAGAAATTTTAGTTATTTTGAAAATTATTATTTTTTTTTATAAGAAATGCAATAGATAGCCGAAGCACATACTTCCATTTCAAAAAATAACTAACATGAGAGTGTTCATTAATGAAGATTACAAAATATCAACAACATTAATGTGTAAAAATAGGATTAGGAACCTAAATTTCCATATGAAATATATCAAATAGGACACTATCGGGACTTCGGTTAGATGTGTCCTTCGGTTAGATGAAGAAAAGACAATCATTGATATTTATCAATTTTACAAGCATTGTATTCAAACTTAATCATTTAAACCATGGTAATGGTAATGACCTAAACTACAATGCCATAGATATGGAGTATGGTGTGAAAGGCAGGAGAAATCATGCTTTACTAGTTGTAGATTCCACCTGTTTCAACGCAACCACTAATCCCTTTTCTTTCATAGAGATCTTGAAAAACATAATGATAAAGTTAAAAATCAAAGAACATTAACGAGTTTTAGCTAGACAATAAATGCATTGTATATTAATGCCTTTGCTAAAAATTGTCTAATGGGAAGAAGCATCAGCTACAAGGGCAAGTGGTTAAAAAAGGTCAAGTGAGGAAAATTCCTCAAACATTGATCACCTCATGTATGACAAAACATCAAATTCTAAAATCCATTAAGCTTCACCTTGGTTGATAGCTACCCCTCCTTTCTTGTGAAGTTTTTTCTTAAAAAATTTCTCTCAAGAATTCTATCCTTCTCAACAACTCATCTTAAGAGCTTACTCCTTTTCAGTGACTTTTTAAGACTTTCCTGTTGATGTACACCTATTTTTATAGCTGAGTAGTTCCAACAGAATCAGAGGATGAAACAATTTTAGAAGCAAACATTCCTCCTAGGAGATTTTGATGGATCTTAAAGGAGTGGTGGTAGTGTGAAAGCAATCAATAGGGACGAATGATAAAAAAAACATATTGGTAGGAGGAGGATAATAGAACATGGCCACACATTGGTCGAAAGGATGAAAATCATGACCAAACAAAAATGACTAGAGAGGGAAGGTCATCCTTCCACATCCATATCAAATTTTAATTTAGTGTCCATGAATACAACCTGCATGAGCATCATAATGCTAGTAGTGAGAACAATTTTATTAAGAATATGTGTAGAATGAGATGTAGCTTAGGAGCCATATAATCTGTAATTCACTGAGATTGCATATGTTAAAGAGATAGATGAAATTTAGAGATGCATTTAGCAGCAAGGACTTATTTTTTGTTGTTAGATATTTAGATTTGTACTAAAATAGGTTATCCTTCTTACTCCACAGGGCGCTTTTATAAGAACCCAACCTACACTATGAGGGATATTATCTATCACGGCTCAACCTATCCGATATCAGGTTGAATCTCACAATTTTATCATTAATAGCCACCTATACTGATATTGCTTCATTATGAGCATACTTAACTATAGAATTTTCAAAATAGCTTCAATTTTTATGATTAAATGCATCTCACTTATATAATATAAAAAAAATTCCTACTTGATTTGTGATTATTATTTTGTTCTCCTTTGTCTGAAAAGCCTGCCAAGAGTCACTTTTTAGCTGGGCAATCACACCTTGTCCTATTTTTTGGACCCATTTAAATTGGAAATGCCATGGTTTAACTAAATTTTGCATGGCTTATTCTTGGGCCACAAATTGTACTAGAGGAGGTCTAGCTTTGATGCTAGACATTTACTCTTTAGATTTAAATTTGTAGGAGGTCATCACCCATCTTAAGAGTGATCCATTACGGGCACATGTAATTATGGAGTTCCTAATGAAACTCACTTACTAACACTAAATAAGTATCTCATATATTTGATCCAACCCATTACTTATATAACCCAACAACCTTTACTACCATCCTTAAGTGGGATTAGCTTCATTCCTACTCTCTTAGGAGCTACCATATTAAAAACCTGTAAGGAGTCGCTCTTTGTTTGGGCCTCTGCTCCAATGGCCATCCCTCACCCTCTCTTTTAAGTTTCCATCTTTAAATTTAGGTTGTCACACTATAATAGAACTTGATGAAAAAAATCCTTATGTTGCAGAGAAGAAGGATTAGAGTACAAAATATACAAATATATTGCTTGAAGTTGTTATTTTCTTAGAAAAATTGAAGCAGAGAAAGGCCCACATGGTCTTAGCAATCTCTGTGAAACTTGACTATGGAGGCAATAAAACGTTTGAGATTATGGATCATCAAATCAAGAATTACATTATTAAATACTTTTCATTTGGAAAAGTTGACAACATGAGAGTGAATGACCTCACATAAGAGGTGGCTAATACTGTTGAACTTGATTGCGGAATCAATGCTGAAGGAGGGTTTTCAAATCTTGTATAGGTTTAGAGGTCATGACATCTTGAGTTAGGGAAGAAGAGAAAAAATCACTACAATTTTTAAAAAAGATCACGCCTATCGTAGCAAAAGAAGGGTTAGTGAGAGAGATTTTTGTAGTGGCATTTATGGGTATAAAGGAAAGCTAGGGTAGGTTTTTAGGCAGGTCCAAGTGACAAGCGTGCACTAAACAAGTGCAATATGATAATGGTTGAGGAAAACCACACGGTTGTAGAACTATTTATAGACGTGAAAGTGGATCGGTAAGCGAGGGATACAAGCATTCGAAGGGGAGTTAGGGTGTACATGAGTCAAAAAGGAAGAAAAAAGCGTGTTAGCTGGTAAAAATGAGGGTAGAACAGGAGACGGGGGTTCATGCATCAAAAGTTGAGTGAGGCTATGCAAGAATCAATGAATGAAAGAGCACATGAGTTGCGTGATGCATTGTAATGTGTGATGTGTGTGAGAGAAGCGAGCCAACATACAATAATTTTGGTGATGTGGTTGGTACAAATGTTTGTATATCCTCATCGGCATGCTGAAGGAGCTAAGCACATGTGATTTTCGCAACTTTTAGGTAGAAGTTGGTGAGGGATTAGTGAAGGATAGGATTTTCGTACTCTAATATTGTGTAAAGAGGAAAGTTTTTTTTTTTTTTTTTTGTTTATTTAGTATGGGGATCTCCTATGTATATTAGGAGAAAGGATACAATGTCTTTTAACGTCGAAAATAAATAAAGTCCACTAGACATAATAAGACAACTTTTCCTAATGTAAAATATGATGCTAGGATTGCCAAATTGAACTTTCTAGTCAACACTTTCATTGATAAATCATCTTAGATCATAATGTAATTTTTCGAAGTTTTACTTAAAGCCCCATCCTTGTATGCTAGCCCTCGTAAATGATTTTTATGACTTTCTTAGTCTGATTTGTGACCTCAGCCCTATCAAGTTCTACAACCTTGCAACTACTTGGCGTTCTTTTGTCTGAGCATGGATTGTTATCTTTCAAGGAGTATTGTATGTGGTTCATGTTAGCATTTTGGCCGTGTCAAGAGTTGAGGTCAAGCTTGATTGAAATAGAATATTGACAGAAGAAATATAACTTGGGAGAGGTGAGGTAGAGGAAAATACATGCATGCGTCTCTGTTCATTCGTCCATTCATCAAGCCTCTAAACCCATTTAAAATTAGCTGGGCTGCTTTATGGCTAGGCTAGATTGAACCAAACATTGAGTTGATATTGAATTACTGATTCATTAGAATTGAATGAATTTCGAACCTTAAATTCTGGGTGCCTTGTTCTATATCTTATACATAGTAACCTTGAACTAATGTATTGAAAACATAGTACATAATAATTTGGAATAATCCTAGGGAAGCGCTTTTCTTGGTTCAAATTTAGTAGTTTGAGTGAAGTGTCGAAATAGAACTATTTATGTGGGGTTATTTTAGTCCCAGAGTTTATAAAAATGTCAAATTAGTTTCCATCCTGTTTTAATGGGAGCTAAAATAGTTCTCATTAGGGACTATTTCAACTCTTTAAAAAAAATCTTGAGACTAAATTGACATTTTTATAAACTCTGGGATTAAAATGACCCCCTTGCAAAGAGTTAGGGGGTCATTTTGACACTTTCTCTTTAATTGTGCTTATTTTGTTTGCTAATTTGTTGTTCACATGAATTTTTTTTTCAGTTTTTTGCAGACTTTAATGAGAAGTTGCTATCTTCTTCCAACTATATCACAAAAAGACAAGCTATCAAGGTGCTGTTTCTTTTATGTTTATATTGATAAGAAAATTCGTTCCACATTGCTTTAGCCATGTATTACTATGAATTGGGAGCATGCCACAAAGAGAAAAAATTTATTGTATATTTTAATTTTTTGTGTTAAACTTGTAACTAGTGAATACAATAATCAAACTAACCTTTGAATACTTGCAGCTTTTGGGAGACATATTGCTTGATAGATCAAATTCTGTGATTATGTTGCAATATGTTTGTTCGAAGGATAATATGATGATTCTAATGAATCTTCTGAGGGTATGTAGTATCCTTTGTTGCTATGTAAATTTGTTTTTTGAAATATATATTAAAATCACTTTTTTGAAACCTTTTTATGGTTTTTGCAACAAAGCCTGGTCATGCCAAAGTTTATGATGTTATATTTGGCAATTTTATTCATTAATGAAAATGATACTGAACTCCTTCATGATGACCAGTTTGAAAAATGACTTCTTATTTTTTGTATTTTCTTATAAGCTTTAATTTTAGTAAGATTTTTTCTTTTGTCATATTTCTTTTTTTTTTTAGTAAAATATGCCTATGATATTACCTTGTAATGGTTTTTATGATGACCTAAAGTTCACTGGATGTCTATTGATTCATTGTTAATATTTTCACAACTTTGATGTGGACTATATTTTTTCTCTTTCTTTATCATATATGATATTTTAGGGGATCTGCTGATTATACATGATCTGGGGATTACATAAAAAAATTAACTAATTGGATCATTCATGATCATCGTTTGGGAATCAAAATACAGAGAGTCCAAGTGACGCGATCATTGAAATTTAATGTATGATTTTTTGATTGGGACTATTACTAGTGGTGATTCTCAGGTCACATTATGGATAATGAATGTAAGTCAATGATTCTCATATCACACTGGCGATAAAGGTGGGCAATGCATAAAATCTAGGCAATTGAATAGTTATTCAGGTGATGATATGATTATAATGAATTGGAAATTGTTTTGAATCTTTTTGCCTTGCGAATTTAAATTTGAATTTCTTTATTTGATGGAATTAATTTGGACATGATAAGAAGTTATTATAGGAATGGATAAGAACGATTGAATTATTAATGCCATTGATTTGTACTAAAGGTTTTAGGACACTTGCTTTTTGGTCAAGTGAGAAACTTGAAGATTTTGAGGAGAGTTTTTCTTTTTTTATTAACATGGGGATTGATTCTACAATTTTGGTGATTTCTTTCACTATACTACAATTTAATGTTCTTAGTTTTTGTGTTTGATTGAATTCGTGATTGATTTTATTGAACTTCAATGCAATTTGAGTTTCAAAGAATGCATGGTTTTTTTAACTCGCTGCATAGTCCTGCTTACATTTCAAGTTCTTTTTTGCGCTTGAATTTGTTTGACAAGAAATTAAGCATGAATTTGCGCTTCATTAGTTGTTAAATGAGGAATTAACCCTAAAAAGTCTGCAATTGCAAAGCGATCCTAATATTAAATTTATTAAATTTAAATCTAAACTTGAATCTACTCTAAAATATAATCATGAATGTAACCTAAAATTGAGCCGAAGTTAAAATTAAAATTCAAATTGAATTTGAGCGTATGATACTCTTTTAATCTAATTCTCCTGTAGAAGTTGATTGTTTTCCGAATATTTTGAAATTGAATAGACCATGTGTTCTAAAATTATTAATTCAATAAGCAATGAATAATAACCTCTTGATGAATTATTTATCAAACTTAAAACTACAAGTACAAGACAAATTTATTATGATTTTGTTTTTGATTCTTAGTTTCCTGAGCTACAAATTTATAGTAAGTATTCTTATGGAGAAAGTAAGGCTTTAACTCATCAATTGCCTAATTATATTAGATACAACAACAACAACAACAACAACAACAACAACAACAAAGCCTTAATCCCACTACGTGGGGTCGGCTGCATGAATCATTTTTCTCCGTTGTGTCATATTTAGTGTCATATTTTCATAAAGTTCTAATATGATCAAAAGGATTCATGTCATGATTTTTTCGACAAGTTTATGCTGGCTGTCGAATACCTAACACAACCCTCCAATTTTCACATCCAGGCTTGGGACCGGCAGTGGACTTGAAAAAAAATCTGAAATTTAAATGTTCCACTACCTAGTTGAAACCAAAAAGTATAGTTCATCACAACTAACCTTTATACCATTTAGGTTAGGTTTTTTGAATTGGTTGCCCATAAATGTATGTCATATTCATTGATTTTTTATTAAAAAAGTTTTTACAATTTAATAAATATTAATTTGTTTTAATTTCATTATTGCTCTTTGACTCTGATATTGTGCATCTGTTAGGAAACATATCAATATTTTTGCATTTTATTTACATTCAAGATATCCTTTTGCATCACCATCCGTTAATCATATGCATGATTTACATAAGAATATTTGCAATTGTAAATTGATTAAATGAAACTTTTTTTTATATTTGATTTGATCACAAGTTGTTCATTAATCGTTCAAATTATAATTTGACTAGATTTTAAGCCCCATTTTAATTGTAATATTATTATAGTTGTTTTTAATTAATAATGCATGTGTAGTCATTGTACAATTTTCAATTTGACAATAATTTCTAATTAATTTTTGAAGAAAATATAAACTCAAATTTGGCTATGTAGATTTCTGGTATTTTAATATACTTGGAAAAAAACAAAAAATAGAAGGAAAAAAGAAGTAGAAAAGATGACAAGCAAGGATTTCTCAAGTTATTGATGTCAAATCTTGAATAGGTCTTAGATCTCAAATTGTTAAGGCAATAACTATACTTGATTTTTATAATTGCGAATATATTCCAAAAGTTCATAAAGATGTTTCTATTCTTGGAATACACTAAAACATTGAAAGAAGAACCATCATTATCCTTACTAAATTCAAAATAAAGAAAAAGGAAAATTTACATACATACCACATAATTCTTATGCATTTACATATCTGACACCGAAAGTTTTATATACATTTATAACATATTGGTATTAAAACCCATTGCATTAAATTGTGTATTTTATTTTAAAATATTATTGTTAGCGATTTTTGATGCATGTTAAAGATGTGAGAATTATGTATGTAAATATGAAAGTTTAGATGTTAGGTGTATAAACATATAAGAATTGTGTGGTATGTATGTTAATGCTCCTAACATAAATAATGACAAGTTGACCAAACATAGTAAAAGGGAGAAGAAAGACATGAAAGCTGGTTTTTGCATTATATCCCGCCCTTGTCATAACTCTACCCCAAAAAATAAAGTGGTGGAAGCTCTTGAAGGTAGATGATATCAACCTTCTGTTGTAATAGTTATAGCATTTCATATGCTAATAGCATTTCATATGCTATCAATAAAAATGCCTATGGTAAACATAGAAGCACAACCTGGCCATCAGAAACAGCTACAAAACTTAGATTGGTATGCTTCCACTTCCAAGGTTGTAACATTTGGAGCGTGCTTTTTTCGACAATTTCTTTTTGGTACTTTATTCATTATCGTTGTTGTGATAATTTTGCAACATTGTTTTGAACTGTAGCAATTAAAGATTTGTTTTACGGCAATATCTTTTTGGTCTGTTGTTTAGGGACTATATGAATCAACAAACTTTCATGTTCATGAAAATGTTTTCTTATGAGCCTTGTCATGCTGATTTTTGCTTATGAAGCGCTTGCGCCCTTTTTTGGATTTTCTTTTGAGGAAATGAAGGAAATTAAAATGGGTGATTCATGATATTTGATGTTGAGGAATTTGAACTTGCGAGTTTTGGCTAGATACAAGATGAATTGAATGAATTTTTTTCTTATGTTCGGTGCTTGGTTAACCCCAGGAGGCATATAAAATTCACCTATTGTTTAGTAATAATGAAATAAGATTTTAATTTTTTTAATCTTTGCTGTGTGCATTGTTAGTTTTAGATTCTTGGAGCCCTTTGTTAGTCTTGACGAAAAGAGTGAGTTTCTGTTAGATCGACACCTATAGCGCTGCCTGCCAAATAATTTGAGACGGCGCAAGACTAGAAGGGCAATATAGTAATTTGTTATTTATTATTGTTTGGTATAAATAGAGCTTGATAATATTAGGGTTAGTTTATGTGTGATTGTTGTCTCGAATATTAGGTTTAGGTTCAGGGTTTGGGGAGAGACCGCCTATCCCTCAAATTGTAGATGTTTATGTATTCAGAGTTGTATTGCTTTGATTTGGTATCTCGGCCGAATAAACTCTTTTATTTCTGCCCAAAATTTCACAAAACTCTATCTCGTTTCTTATCAAATTGGTATCCAAAGCCTCTACTTTCTTGGTTGTCATTTACTCCCAAGAAAATTTTTGATCATGAAGACGTAACTTTGTACGCCGCAATTCTGTCGTGGTTTTCTTGCTAGCTTGAATGAAGAATGTATCAGTTCGGTCATGAAGGCGTTCAGTCTCGTATTTGGCTTTCCTAGTTGAATCGAGATTGTATCGCGGGGTTCGGTCACACAAACGTTTGTTTGTACACCACAATCCTGTCGCTGGCTTCCCAACACTCGAATTGCGATTGTGGCATGTCGCGATCCCAACGTGGGCTTACTGGCGAATATATCACAAAGTTCCTTCAAGAAGGCGACGTGACCGAGTTGATTGTAGGCCTCTTTCTGCTACTCCGCCATTTTGAAATCGTCGAGACGACCAATTAGAATTTTAGGAACCATAAAAAATGAAGTGAATTTATTGTTTTTAAATTGCAATGTTGCTTATATTTGTTGAAATTAAGAGTTCACAATGTGTGAACTTTTTTTTTGGTTCATTACATACATACCACCAAATCCTATGTATTTACATATTAAACACATTTACTTTAATTTTTACATTTATCCAATTCTTTCATATGACATAAAAAATACCACCATTTTAACTTTTAAAATGTGAAATACAACTTTTCATGGAAAGGTATGGTGGTATGTACGGAAAAATTGAAGTTTAGGGGTCAGATATGTAAATATATAGTAATTGAATGATATGTATATAAATCTTTTTTTTATGTGTTTTCATTGTGCATCTCATCGTAGGTTTTATTTTCAAATTAAGATTCTTCTGAAAGCTTATGCAATTATGTATAAAGTCTATATGCAAAATACCCTTTACATTCCTTCCTCCAAATATTATAGACATTATGTTAAGAAGCTAATAAAACTGCTTCTCTGAAAGCTTATGCAATTATGTATTTGATATATACTTTATTGGTTTTCACTTGCAGGAATCAAGTAAAAACATCCAAATAGATGCATTTCATGTGTTCAAGGTACCAAAATCTTCATTCCTCCATCTCCATATTTTCCACTGCTTTATTAAAGGGTGTAACTTAGTCAAGCCGGCTCGTAAGCTGGCTCGAACTCCGCTCGATAAATGACTTGTGAACTGAGCTCAATGAACAAACAAGTTAAGGTTAAACCAATGCTGACTCAACTCGTTAAATCGTGAGCCAGCTCGTTAAAAAAATATTACTGGCATTTACATTCAAACCACACAATTTTTATGTTTTATATATCTAACACCTAAACTATCATATTTACACGAATATCACTCGAAATTTTAACATCACATCAAAAATTCCACTATGAGTTACTTTTAAAAGTAGACTTATGACAACAAGGTGTTATAAATATAAATATCAAACTTTGGTTATTAGATATGTAAATGCATAAGAATTGTATGGCATGTATGTAAATTTCCCAAAATATGTTAAAATGCAAGAATTTATCTTTAAATTATTAGAAATATTTAAAAAAATAATATTTTACATTTTCTCTCATGTGATTTCTTATTATTTATTTTGTAATCACTCACTCTCTTTGTTTTTTTATATTATAAAACTAGCTTGAACTAATTTTGTTTTTTTTCTTTTTTCACAATAAACAAGCTGGTTTGTGAGCCTGCTTGAACTCGTAGAATTAAGCTCGAGCTCAAGCCATCTGAGCTAGAAGTCTACACCCTAAACTCCATTTGTGATTGATTGCTCGTTATTGCTTCTCCCTCCTGCAGTTATTTGTAGCAAACCAGAACAAACCGGCTGAGATTGTAACCATACTAGTCACCAACAGAAACAAGCTTCTTCGGCTCCTGGGTGACTTCAAGCTGGATAAAGGTTGGTGCCAATTCATTATTTATTGGGTGGCAATTTGCAAAGCTTCTTTGCATTATTTATTTATGGTTTTGTTGCAGAGAATGAACAATTCGATGCAGATAAAGCCCAGGTTATGAAAGAGATAGCATCACTGTAACTGTAGCCAGGAGGTAATTTTATCTTCTCTTTCCTGATGGGGAAAGACTTCATGTTGTAAAATTGTTGTAAAATATTTGATGGAAATTAGAAGCTTTGATCTCTCATCTCTTTGAAATTTCTGTAATTGAGAGGGGAGTAACATAATAAAATTTTAGAGAGAGAGAATATAAGTGCTGCAGCCATCAGAATCATGTGTTTGTAGGGAGTAAGTTTGAGTTGTAATGACATTCTAGAGAAAACTTTGGAGATTGTTTGCTTTAGTTCTGTATTATATATTTTGGTGTCTTAAACTGATATTAGATATAAAAGTCTTGAATATGATGTGGTATAATAAAGTGTTAAAATAGTTCCCGACTATTCACACGGGGTCGTTTTAATCCTAGAGTTTATCGAAGTGCCAAAGTACTTTCGACTATTTTAAAATTGAGCTCTAATAGTCATCGATGATGAGGATTATTTTAGTCTCAATTTAAAAAGTCTGGCGGCTATTTTGACATGCTATCAATATTGGGATTAAGACGGCCTCATCTACATAGTCAGACACTATTTATTATAGTGCCAACTTATTATTGTGATTAGCCGACAACTGCTGTATTAATTTTCATGCCTTCTGTGCCGTGTCTTCAGTTGTTGCTATATTTTATGAACTCATTTTAAGAAGTGATTAAGCAGTAATCATTGAGTTGTTAGAAACATTTAATTAAAAAAAAAAAATTAGGTGAGCCTAAAAGATGATATGCATAATTTGAACTTGAACTTGTTCAAAGATATAGCATTTATGTACAAGCCACTTAATTTCTATGTATTTATATATGTAAGACTTAGGTTTCTCATATTACATATGACTTGAGGGGTATGTGTGCACATCTTTCCTTTATTTGAATCCCAAGTTTGGTACGCTTTGCATTCCTTATATGATCAAACCTACATATTTCATGAATAATTCCCTTCTTTTACATGTATAAAAATAAATTATTTCACATTGATACAACATTTATCATTCAAAGTGTTTTGTTGAACTGACCCATATGAATCAAGCATCTTGTTATGATTTTTAATATGACAATAACCCTAAACTTTAATTACCCTCTGAATTGCTAATAAATTACAAATTTAGCATTAATTACAAATTAGCAAATATTAACTCAATTGAAATTTTCTTAATCAAAGCCTTGATCAATCATTTAAAACTAAAAAAAAAAAAAAGCATTTTTTGAACCAAAAGTTGAGACAATGCTGAATTTATGAAAATAAAACTTCTATAATTACAACTATGGATTTTCAAATCATTATTGTAAATAAATAAGACAAAAGGTTTAATGAAAATATCATGAAAAAATATATATTTAAAAAAAGCTTCAGAAACAGAAGCATGTCCTAACTACAATAGTCAAGCACAAGAAGCCCGGTGCGACTATAAACACATCAATAACATATAAAAATTACATCTACAACAACGAAAAATTATTACGTATGTAGACCATATTCGTGCGAGTTCTGTGTATAACAGTGTGCAACAATGTTATACATGGAGTCCGCATGAATACAGAATCCGTACCTAATATTCTCTCTACCCGCCCTCCCCTCTCTCTCTCTCTCTCTCTCTCTCTCTCTCTCTCTCTCTCTCTCTCTCTCTCTCTCTATTCTAACTACCAAGTAACAAATTAATAATATAAACCCAAACCCTAATAAAAAATATCAGCCAACAAACACACAAAAAGAACCAAACCTTAACAGAAATCCTTCTCCAATCTCCACATATATATATATATATATATATATATGACATTAGATTTCTAAACTCCTTGATGTTGTCTTGCACCATAACCATTAGTGCCATTTACTCCATTAACACCATTGTGAGACTTATCAGATCCACCTGCCCTCTTCCTCTTCAAAACAACTCCCCAAGTAAAGACTTCGAGGATCACGGCGATGCCTCCGAGCGACGCAATGATCCCGATATAAGCATGCTTCCACTTTTCGTCGGGGTCTAAGATATCGAATCCCTTGAAGATGTTGACAATGCTGAGGACGATGACGGTGTACCCGACGGCATGATGGTATATGTTCCAATATAAGCGATATTTGTGATCCTTCTTCGGCCTCAAAAGCAACGCAAATACCTATATGATTCATATTCATATTACATTACATGTTAACTCATTCAAAAATGATATAAATATCATGATTTCATACATGTTTACTCCTACGTCTTATTGTGTTATTGTCGTCGTTGCAAATTTCACTATGATGGGAAACAAGTAGGCAACGAGATTGAAAGATATTTCTTCGTAGGATGTAAATCAGATCAAAGTGTACACTAGCAAGAGTAGCGCGGAGTATATGTGTTAAAGATTGCCCTGACGTATGAACTTGACTTGAACTCGACTAAAAAAATTTAGGTTTGGGTTGACTTGAATAGTTTTTGGATTACGTTCAAGTTATGAATGCCGATCCATTTACTTTTTTCAGTCGGGTTTGGGTTGACACACCAACCCTGATATTGACTCACTAACATAAAATTGAATCGAAATCGACATGTCAACTTGAAATTGACCTGAGATTGACCCAAAATCAACCCGAATAGCTATTATGTCTTATATTAAACATGTTATATGGGTCAAGTTCAGGTTCACGGGTTGAAGACAGGTAGGGTTTAGGTTTTACTTTTAGACCCATTTAATATCCAGGGTTGTGTTCTGGTCAAACAATTCAAATCGAGCTAATTTCGAGTCAAACTTGAACCCAACCCGCGAACCCAATTTGACAAACCTAGCACGGAGAGATGAATACCTGAAGGGTAGCGAGGGTGAAGAGAGTGATGCCGATGTTGCGATGCGAGTGGTAGGTGATTCCCTTCGAGTCGCTGCCGAGTTTAAGACCGGTCCCCCATCCGGCGACTCCGACTACATAAGCAGAGCACTGGCAAGCAACATGTAGATAGAACCATGCTGGATCAGCAGACTTGAACACTCTCATGTACCTTGCAATTATGGCTCCAATGGGCATCAAAATCCCCCAACTCACCGCATTCAAAACTCCATGTGTCTGCATATCATTTATATAATCATGAAGTTTTTGTTAGATTATTGATAAAGAGGAAATTTTTGACAATAAATATCTTTTCATTAAAAAGATGAGAGACTATTAGGCTTAATTTGTAATCAGGTGGTGTAAACAAGTCGAGATATCAAGCCATCCCCGACTTAAGCTTGAGTTTAAGCTCGATCTTAATTAATTAATCATCTTCAAGCTCTGAGGCTGAACTCGAACTTCGTTCTAAAACTTTGACTCAATTTATAAGCTAATGAGTCAAATAAAAGCAATCTTGAGTTAAGTTCCTTAGCTCATCAAGTTCAACTCATGAACTATATTGAGATGAGCCTGAGTCAACTCACGAGATAGCTTCGCTCAATTACAAAAAATTATTACGTGCAACTATTACACGTCCTGATGGGCATGGCTACTATGGTGTGGCCACATCTAGACCGTCGTCCGGACATACAAACACCCGCACGTAATAAGCTTCCCTCAATTACACCCATCTAGAATCCCAAACTCCATCAATAATTCCTACTAAATACTCCTCCCAAGCAAAACAACAAACATAAATCAAAAGAACCATAGCAAAAGAATATAAACTTACGTTCTTGCGATGCAGCCTCGAACTCCCGGCGGCGGCCGACGACTGGCCGGACAGAAAATCCAGCGTCGCCGTCGACTGAACATTTGGCCCGGTGGTCGGATGACCGGACGGCAATCCATTAGAGAAGGTATTGGAAGCTTGCCACACATGATTCACCCTCGTCCTGTTTCCCGGCAGCTGAATCGTCGCATAAATCGTCATCATATTGCTGGAAAACTCAGAACCCATTCTGTAAACCTTGAAGCTAAGACTCGAGTTCTTCACCACGGGATTGGATAGAGTTATAGGCGAAGATACGGTGGTCATCACGTTCCTGGAATCGTGGAAGGCGAAGATTGTCTGAGCTCCATCCATGCCGGAGCCGGTGGGGTTGAGAGCCCAAGCGATCCATCCGTCGGATTTTTGAGGGGCGCGGTAGGCGACGTCGACGGTGGAGTTCGCCGGATGATAGGTCCAGTGGAGGGTGGAGGAGAGGACGGGGAGAGAGTTGCAGAGAGAAAAGAGTCTGTTTTGGGAGAACGTGTCGGATGTGCAGCTTTGTTGGGAGGAGGAGAGGGGTGAGAGGGAAAGGAAGAGGAGGAGGAGGAGGGGGAGGGAGGTTGATTGGATCTGCATTTTTTTTTTTTTTAAGGGAAAGATGGGACTTTGGCGATGGGGGAAGAGGGAAGGAGGGGATTTGAGGGGGGATGGGGATTAAAGGAAAGGTTTTGATGGCAGCAGGAGGGGGGAAGGGGGATTAGGGTTCTTAAAAAAGGGAAAGGGGAGGGTGGGGGAGTTGAGAGTTGTTGACTGGTAAGATTTGGAAATGTGGAAGCTCCACTGGTTGGGAGGATGGCAGGAGGCTTCTTTCTGCCTCCCACCAACTCCTCACGTCTAAATGTGCCTTCTTTTTCAACGTGATCGACAAAAATAAAGAAAAAAAAAAAACTTTTTTTTTTTCTTTAAGTGAGAAAAAAACTTGATTTTTAAATTTTTGTTTATTTTTTTTATTGGCAATATTTAGTTTTGATTCATTCCCAATCTGTGATGACCATAAATTCTTATGATTAGTGATGAAATCAACTTGTGGCTCGTTATATTTCATTTCGAGTTGAGCCGACTCAAAATTGAATCGAACTCGATCGGGTGGATTTACCAAAGTTTTAATTAACCCTTTGGCGTATAAATATTCAATGATGAAAAAATATAATATTAATTTTTGTAAGAAAAAAATCATTAAATTGGGCTTTGATTTATTGTTTGCATCCTAAAGCGTGTGGAATTCTTGAAAATTTATGTTTTAAAAAAAAAAAAAACCATTAATTCAAGTGGTCAATGTAATTTACACTATGCACCTCTACTATGTCACCCATGACAATTTGCATCTTTGTCACACCGCACAAGGAATGCACATTTAACAACTATACTTAATCCAACTTTAATCTAAACTATAGTTAATCTAACCTCTGTTTAAGGTTTTGAATTTTTCTTCTGAAATTTAAGAATTTTGATGAAATGGTTATAGAATTTATAAGTCTTATAGATTTTGATTTGCACTTTTAATACTATAGTAAAACCAATGGGTGACTTGAATATTTATTTAAGCTACTAACCATGGTTAGTCATGATCCCATGTGATTAAGCGTAGGAGCAACGACTCTTTTTACCAATTCTAACCCCTCCCACCTAATCCTTTAGCTACGTTTGTGATAGGCAGAGCTCATGTAAGCTTGGCGCTTCAAATAGAAACAAAATTTGAATCAATTTTCGAGCAATTAACGATCGAACTAAATTAGCTAAATTCATAACTTAACATCAGTAGGGTTGTTAAAAATCTGATTTCGAGTCGAACCCAGGCCGGTTGCAATGAAATTCGATTCAAAATTTTGGCTCATAGCTTGGCTTATTTATTTCGATCACATTTCGATCCGAGTGAAAATTTAAATTAATTTTCGAGCAATTAACGACCTTCGAGCTAAATTCACAGCCCTATCTTTAAGCAAGTTCATGAATTGGTCCTCGTGGAGATTCAAGATGTTACTATAAAGTTTGAAGATAAAATGTGGGGAAAAAAGTTTATTAAGAAAAAGGAAAGTTGTGAGTATAGTGTTATGCAAAACAATGTCGAAATGAAAAAATTCACACAATAACAATCAAACATAAAACATTAACGTGGTTTGACGTTAGATTGATTCACCTACGTCGACGGGGAGAGATATTTCAATGGCACCGAATGGGGAGAAAAAAAATGTCTTGGGATTACAACTTCTACACTTCTCACCATGAGTCTCTCATGAACCTGAAGTCCCTTTTATAAAGGAAGATTAGGGAATACAAGTAAATAAAGCCAAAAACCAAATTACCCTAAATTATAATAAAAGTTATAAATACAATAATCTTCATCTCATCCCTTACTTTCAGATAAGTGAGAGATGACTAAATGAGTTTCAAACTCTAATTCAACTACACCAAGATAATTGCCTACCTACCCCCTCCTAAAGGGATCAAATCTTACGTAGTTATTCAAAATATCCGACTGGCAATCAGACTTGAGCTCAGTTGTTCACCAAACTCCTGCAATAGATGAACTTCTGGATTGGTATTACCTTGATGAGCATATCCGGTTGATTCCATTTCTTATCTATCTTTTTTAACAAAACCTTGCCATTATCAATCAAGTCCCGAACAAATTGGCACCTCACATCAATTTGCTTAGTGTGAGCATGATCATTAAATTTGTGGCTGTGAATATTGCACTATGAATGTCACTGAACAACGTCTGAGAATGTCGATCAACTCTTAGTCATCCAATAAACTTTGCATCAAAATCACTTCCTTCATCGCCTCTGTGATATTCATGTACTAACCTTTGTAAAACAATGATAGACTAAAGATCTGACCTTCAACTGATTGGACCTCCTGCCAAATGAATAAATAGCCAGTAGTAGATCTTTGTCTATGCATATCACATGCACAGTCTGAGTTAGTGTAGCTTACCAATAATTTTGCAATAAATGACTGCATCTCAAACACCAAGTTAACATCAACTGTATCCTTCAGATAGCTCAGAATGCTCTTCAAAGTTTGACAATGATTCCTTCATGGATTATGCATGAACCTGCTCACAACACCAAATACTTGTGCTCTCTGGTCTAATAAAACCATGTCATATATCAGATCGCCCTCTACACTAGCATAATGAACTGCTCGCATAACTTTTATTTTCCAGTTATATTTAGGACACTGATCTAAACTCAACCAAAAAAGAGATGCTATGGGTAGACTTACCGCCTTGCTTGAGTCATCAACCCAAAATTTCTTCAGCACCTTCCGGACAAAAGATCCCTGCAAAAGCTAAACCTTTCAAATTACCTTGTCACTTAGAATATCTATGCCAACAATTTTTTTGAGATTCACCCAACTCCTATATATTGAAATATTTGGATAGTTTATTCTTTATCTTATCAATCTCAACCTGACTAGCAGGTGCAATTAACATATCATCAACAATATAAGCAAGCAAATGAACTCACCGTTGGCCTACTTCTTGAAATATGCATGTTGGCATCATTTTTTGATGTCACGGGAATAAGATGTCCACTGGAATGACCTTAGGGTATGCTTCACGCACATAAGACTCCCCAAGAGTCAAGATATCCATCTTTCATTCTCTGGCACATGGCCAAAATCTTTTGTTAGGCTTTAGTTGTTGATGTGGTGAGGGTTGACCAATGTTAGATTGATGAAATGACCACAACATTTATAGACATACATCAAACTTTCTTCACGAAGGTCCAGTTCATTCTCTTTGTCACCCCATTCTACTGTGGTGTCTCTCATACAATGCAGTGGTGCTCTATCCCAGCTCTTTAGCACTCTTGTAAGAACTCATCCAAAGTGTATTCACCTCATTCTCTGATTTAATAAAACATATCTTTTTATCAGTTTGAGTCTCAATTCAGTTCTTCGAAATTATGAAAATATCTAGCATCTCGCTTTTGCGTTTCATAGTGTACTCCAAAACATACCTGGAGTGATCATCAATAAATGAGACAATGTATCTTTGTTCGCTGAATGATTCTTTCTACATCGAACCCTAAACATCTGTGTGAACATACTCTAAAAAATATTTTATACCGTGGATGGTAATACCAAAAGATGCCCGTCGCTTCTTGCCAAATACACAATATTCACATAAATTAAGCTTGCAGATGCTCGCCCATTTGATTAATCATTGTTTCATCAAAGTTTGTTGTGAAGCTTCTCCAGCATGAGCTAGCCACATATGCCACAATATAGTGGTATCAGAAGAATCATCAGCAATAGCAACTGTTTCAGTCACCGTACTATCTTAAAGATAATAAAGATTATGATGACGAACTCTTTTCATAAAAATCATTGCTCAATAACATATCCTCATACTCCTGCCTCAATAACTATCTTGTATCCCTTAAGCTCTAAAGCCCCCAACTGACAACAAATTATTTCTGATATCTTGAACATATTTAACAATAGTTGGCTCCCTCACAATACCATCATGTATCTTGATAAAGATACTCCCTACGCCAATAGTACAGAAAGCTTGATCATTGCTCATAGTCATTACATTGTTATCCAGCTCTTTATACGTACAAAACCACCATAAATGACGACAAATGTGATAGGTGGCACCTTTGCCCAGAATCCAGCTCGAATCAACTAAAAACAAACTGTGAGAAACTACAGATAATGATACATCTAAATCCACCTCTTCACATCTTTCTACAATGAAATTAACTTTCACCTCAGATGCAACTTCTTTTCTCTTCTTCTTTTGCTTCATAATTCTTCTAATGGCCAGTTTTTAAATAGAAAGAATTTTCCTCAATATTGTGCCCACGATGCTTGCCCCATTGTTTAAAAAAAATACAAGCCGACCCATGGGTTCTTAGTGAATCTAGTAACTGACAGTCAAAACCTTCAGTTCATATCAAATTATATAAGCGGCAATGAAACATCGTTGGAAAGTCAGACCGTATGTTTTTATCCAATTAATAACTGACGATCAAAATACAATTATTAAGAAATTATAAACTGGCGTTCAAAGATAGTTGGAACGTTGTAGGAAAAGTTGTTTATATCAAACCGGCGTTCTAAATTTCTCATGTTTTCTCACCAGCGCGTCTTTACTCAAATCATAGGTAACTTCGATCCCATTATTCATTAAAGTTTTTTTTTGACAGTTAGATTTATTGCATTTTGAGATTAAATGTTTTGGAGAAATTTGAATTTTTTATTCGGTTTCCTACAATTTTAATGATGCATCTCATTGTTGCATTCATAATACTCAACTCTTAGGTCTTTCCATGTCTAACACCTAAATTTTAATTATAAATTTGCTTAGAAGGTGTACAATTCTTATATATTTATGCATTTCACACTAAAACTTTCATATTGACATACATGACATTTTGCTTCTTTAAATTCATGCATGAAAAGGTGTATTTCACTTTTAAGTAATAATAATAATATTATTATTTTTTATGTGATGTTAAAGTTTAGAGTGCTATTTGTGAAAATATGAAAGTTTAGGTCTGAGATATGCAAATACATAAGAATTGTGTGCTATGAATGCAAATGCCCAATTTTGAAGGCAAATTCGCATACCTAGCTCACAATTATTAGGTATTTTTGTATCTCCCATCTAAACATTCAAATTTATATGTATGACGCTTTGGTGCTTTGATCTATGAATGAAAATGTGTATTTCACTTTTAAAAAGTTAAGTAATCGACATATAATTGATCGATAAATGACTGTTATGCTGTCATCTTAAACCCTTGGTTATAGTCATCGTTAAACAGTCAGAAATATGATCATTTCTTATATTTCCGACAAGCTATGAAG